GGGTAATTTTGTTTAGTTCAATTAGAAGTGCACATTTAATTTCAGTTGCTTTCCTTAATGATATATTATAGCATTTTTATTCCCTTATGAACAATATGTATACTTGTAAAGCATGTATCACAAAATCTTCTGCAAACAAAGTTTTGGGTGTAGAGTGTTTGTTGTTTAACGTCCCTCTTGAGAATTTTTCACTCATATGGAGACGCCACCACTTGTCAGTGGAGAGTTGCAAATTTTTGTCCTATACTCAGCACTTACGGCCATTGAGCATTGAGGGATCTTTATCGAGCCAGCACCTACTGTGACATGGGACCTCGGTTAATACCTCTGTCTCATCTGAAGAACGGGTCTCCACGTCCCACAGTGGGATTCAAACTCGCGATGTAAGGATCAGCTTCTTTCTCCGCAACTCTAGAGTAGACGCTCTAACCACTGCATCTGCTCTACTTTGGCAACTTTGGGAGTATATAAGCATAAGAATCATCATGTCCATCTGTCTGTTCATGTGTTTGGCCACTTTTATGATTAGTTTTTTTGTTCCAATTCTGGCTGAGATAAATTGATTTAAGTCATCTAAATACAAACAAATTAAGGGAAATTACTATGGTATTGGAATGAACTTTTTGGAATACTGTCTAATTGTTCCATTGTAGTTGGTTTCTTTAATGTTGAAGTAATGCATCTGGTCTTCCTAATGCATGGCATACACTGTATGCATGTGTAATGTTAAAGTTGGCTGAATGTAAAACGTTCTTGCGTTATGACAAAGGTAAATAGATTTAGTTCATGTAACTAAACATGTAAATTATTAGGGTATTAAAATCTCAAGTTTTGAATACTGATTTACATGTGGAGAGTAGTTGGTCTCCTTAATGCAGTAAAAATACATTTGGTCTCCCTTATGCATACTGTATATTATATAAAGGGGGAGTTTCGATAAGGTCGCTCAGCGGCCCACTTTTTTTCATAAAAATAAATTTCAATTTATTTTTTCAAAACTAGTTAAGAATTCAAGAAAAATACGAGGGGTTATCAAAAAGTTCGTGGACTAACGCCATAAAATTAAAACCGCTTTAGGTACATCAATGAATTTTAAAAAATTTAGTTAGCATCATCTTTTCTATCTATAGAATAAACCACAAATCATAGGTTTTATTTTTTAATAAATTAGTAATGTTTTTATAAGCAATGGTATGTCCAGGCGGCGCAACCTCGAACGTGACGTTTTTTCAACCTGAGTGTAACTATAAGAAAATAATTTTCACACGAGCACTTCCCATCCAAAAATCCCGTTAATTCAGGAATGTGATGGGACACAATTATTCCGCAAAATGTGCAGTTTTTACCTCATTCTTTAAGTTCTATGAAATTTTATCGTATATTTTATAAGGAGTGTACATACAATATTAATGGCTTGAAAATGACGTAAAAAGGGGGAGGGGTTTCTTTTTCCAACATTCTATAAAGTTTTGCCCCTGAAAAAAACTGGTATAGACCTAGGGAAAATTTAAAATGGCTACAGAGAAATAAAATGCACCCAGAATACTTGTTATTGAATGCCAAAAGAGATTCAGAGAGATGAGAGATGCGCATTTAATGTCGATTTGTAGTCAAGGTGTGAAAATCAATCACGTCAAAAAGTGATCATGTGTGGTTTATATTGAACTCCAACAAGCAAAATATTCTGGCATAATCAAGCGAGGGTCTTTCCCTATACATGTACATAGATTCATTTACAATTTTATATGTATTAAAATTAGCTGGTCTAAACATTGTCATGCCATATAAACAAGACAGGTTTTAGTTTTTACTTAACTCCAGAGAATCTCATCAAGATAAGTGTATTGATACACAGGGAGTAGGCAATTAGAAATAATGACGTTGTCGGACGTCATGAAACTAAACGACGACAGCGCCGGGTGATCATATTATGTATTTTTTATTTTAAAATAATTTGGCAAATTGTCAACGTATCAAGCTAAAATTTTCAACACTTATTAAACTTTTGTTGTTTAATGTTCCTTATAAATTTTGTAAACATAGACTACATTGTAATAATTTTATCTCATCAGTCCACGAACTTTTTGATAACCCCTCGTATATTAACTTTTGTTATTTACATTTCAGAGGTTAATATGAGATGAATTCACAACGTAGCTGATACATACTTAGATGTACCCTCAGATCCGTTAACATTAGGCTTATGGGAAAATATAAGAGGGTGGCATTTAAAAATCGATGTTTAGAATATGAAGTGCATGAGGGACACTCGCCTAATTTTTTTCAGTAATTAGATATACTCTGCACACTAATTTCTTGAAATATGATGAGTGTCACATGTGCACTTCATATCCAAAAAAATGAAAATTGCATAAAATTTGCATATCTAAAATTAGAAGCTCCTGGTTTCTTGATCTGACTCTGTGTTAAAATACTAGGCCAAAAGTAGCATTTTTTTTTAAATCAAAGAAGATTCTCGATTATATTAACAGTAGAAAACATTATCGTATCCTATCTTCATTTCGACAGTTTTTTTTGTCGCCAACGTATAACGTTAACGTCACATTTTTAGCTCACCTCCTTGAAGTTGGGGGAGCTTTCGTAATACCGTCGGCATCGGTGTTTCAGGTAAAAGTATTTGAAGCAGATTTTTTTTTCAAGTATATCTATGCCCTATATTAATCAGAGTCACATGATCCAGCGTGTTTCCTTGTCACCAGTCAGGTTTCAGATGCTGGATTTTTAGTCAAAGAATGTCCAAGTAAATGTTTTAAAAGCAGGTTTAAGTTTTTGGAGCAGAGCAGCTGAAAGCACTTGTTGACCAGACTTGCTTTATGATGCACACTACTATATTGCTTCAGATGCTGGATATGACCTACATTTCATTAATAAGTGAGCAGGTTAAAGATTTTGAAGCTGGTCTCATTTTTATATAACTATAAGCCCCATCGTGACCAAACTTGCATTGATGATGCATCTAGGATTGCACATTACCAGACATGGTTCAGATGCTGCATCTTTCTTACATTTTCCTACTGACTGAACAAAAAAAAAGTTTTCGAGCAAGTCCATTCCTTAATGTTATTCATCATGCATAGTTATATTTTTGACTTTCTTGTAAATAGAAATCCACGCTCCGACATGCTAGAGAGGCGCCCATGTATTTATGTGTGGTTGATATAGGAAACGTGGCTTGTTTTAAGTCTGGATGTCTAGGGGCATATGTCTGCTTGATTACGGATTAAACACATATCTTTGGCGTTTTCACATGTATTTCGAACTGCGCTCTGTTCTAGCAAATCATATATAATGAATTCTAGAACTCTCTAAATGAGAAGTGACTAGAAATGGTGTAAAAACTTAAGTATCTCTGGAGATTTGAGAAGCGAGAGGAAATAAGTCCTGGCTGGGATTCTCTCAGTTACGCTGAAAACATAATGCAGATCTATGTGGGCAAATACTTATAAGTTTCATAATGAGAAGGAAAATTTAATGCATTATAGATTTTTCCATCATATTACGTATCATGATAAAATACTTTTGACTGTAATCAATATCATTCATATTATCAAATACATTGCAATATACAGAAGCCAGTAGGTGCAAGGTAAAAAAATATGTTATCTGTCAGCCGCCAGATAAGTTTCTGCCATTGAAATATCTGGCGGCCGCCAGATAAAATTGTAGTGTTTTTGCCAATCAAATTGTAGCACCCAATGATATACCTCAATGCACTTGATTGACAGAGGTACACAGACCAGGTATTTTCGAAGGCGGTGCTTAAAATCTCTGCCTTTAAGGAGGCTGGGGGGTCAACAAATTAACCATCAGATATAACTTAATTTTTTAGATATGATATCTTAAGCTGTCAACTATTATTTGGCAAAGAAAAATTTCATACATTTTTGTTTTAAAATTTGATCATTTTTGTATATCTTTATATGGAGCTCTTCTTCTGAAAGAGATCAATATAGTCTGAAAATGGCCACAACCCCCCAGCCATCTTAACGACATCTACAACTTCTCTTTGAAGTCAAATCTTGGAGTTTCATGCCTTATTAGCAAAGATAAAATCTACACTTCATACAAAAATTCACTTCATAAGGTTTTCACCTCATAACTTTAGATTTATGTTTTATTAGATTACATGTCTACACCGCAAGGAACTTATTTGTCGGATTCTAGTTATTTATGTTGCGGCCAACAGATAAGTTTCTGGTCGCCGCCAGTCATTTATGTGGTGGCCGCAGGAAAACTATTTGGCTGCCGCCAATTTTTCTAGCGGCCGCCGAATAATTATGTGGCGAACGCCAGATAAAATATTTTTCTTACCTTGCACCTACAATGTACTGGCTTACCTAGCAATATGATGCTTTTAAGTAAACTTTTTATTCATGTATGTATTTAAAATATTTTTTAATCTTTTTATTTCAAAACATGTTATTTAATTTCAATTTTATGATACTAAGGTATATTTTTATAAAACATGTAGTTGTATAACCTTATTGATGAAAATGTAGTGCATATACCTGTATAAATTATGACGTTTTTACATTCACCTATCTCATGTCTACATATCTTTTCATTTGCATTTTTCGTATGGGAAAATGTTAAATATTGATTATATAGTTTATGTATAAATTGTCGATTAATTATGATGTTCAATCTTTCTATATATTTTACGTTTCATAAGTTAATTCCATCCTCTTTTAAAGAAAAGTAACATTTGACACACCAGAAAAATATCGCACCTTAAAAAAACATTTGCATAAGATAAACACCATTTTCCGTAAAAAAATTGTTGAGATTGGTTAATTTATGTCTTTATTCATATTTATCCTATTTCATTTACGATTTTGACGGTTAAAAAATCCACTTTCCCCCTATGAAAATGTCTACTCCCAAAATATACGAAATGGGGGTAAACTTAAATTTTCAATTATCACGTGACCGGAAAATGCGTAACATAAATTATTTTCATATTTTTAGGAAGTTTAGAA